TGAGTGGAATTTTCTCCCAATATTTAAGGAATTTAAGCTTCATAGGAGTAGCAATCATTCTAAAATTAGCATCTTTTTCAAACATTTTGCAAATGTTCAACCATGTCAAGCATATGGTGCAAAACAAGTGGAGTTGTGGGATAATAAACCCCAGAAATGACTGTGATGAGAGTTATAGAAGAGTTCTAGGAATATCATTATTTGTTCAAACAACATGCCAATGTCAGTATAGATCAACAAAGTAGAACCATAATTAGAGGTAATAAACACATCAAAGACTTCTTTGTATGGCGGCAAATGTTTGAGCATAAAAAAGTAGAATTCCATCTAACATCCATGTCCAAGCCAAACTTCCTAGGTCTAAGACCACGAGCCTTGCAAAGTAGTTTTTAAACAATGCAATTCTTTGATTAGAGGAATTTAAAAAACTTATTGCAGTGACGAAATCTTCAAGTATAAGGTTTCAACCTCTTCATGCCGATTTAACAATAAGATTGATGATATGGCATACTGTGATTGATGCACAAGCCGCACCTTGTTAGGATCGGTGGGGGTAGGTGTGAGATAAGAACCCAAATAACCAAAGAACATAGGCTGCAAAATCTCATATGCCCTAGAATTAGCAGAAGCATTGTCTAGAGACACAGAAAATACCTTGTCTATCAAACCAAACTCCTCAACCACACTAGCAATCCTATCAGCAATGTTATCAGCAATCCTATCAGCAATGTTATCACCAGAATGTGAAACATCAATCAGCCTTAAACCAATTACTTTTTTCTGTAACTCCCAATCAGCACTAACATAATGAGCAACCACAGATATATAATCCTCTTTAGCATTACCAGACCAAATATCAGATGTCAAAGAAATAGAAGATGCAACAGGCAACACAGATTTCATAAGCATATCACATTGTTCATCAAACAATTTAGACATATCTCTAGTGGTGGTCTGCCTAGAAACCTTTTGGAACAGAGGATTATGAGCACGCTTAATGTAATCCTCCCAAGCATCAGTCTCACCTATCCCTAAAGGAAGGTCTAGCCTAGCAATCAAAGCGGCACAACTCGGCGAGCAATCAAAGGATCATACACCCAATTGTTCAAACCATCGAGATTTGAGCAAGCTTAGGCTGGACAAGACTAGCACGATCACGTTTTTTTTCATACAAGAATTCATGTGCCGTCTCAAATGGCGATTGCGGCCGCCGATCTAGCAAAGATGTATCGCGCAAATGTTTTGAGATGGCACGCACTCAATTCCCTTCTCCTTAATCTCATGGAAGTAATCCCAAACAATGAAACTTTCTTACGAGAGGAGGTACCATGAGTGTCGATGGATACCTCAACTCCACCATCGTTGTCGCCGCCATCGACATCGATGGGCTTTGTCATCACCGAGGTCGACGATCAGATCGGCCGCATCATCATGTATGTCGTCGTCGTCCTCGACTTCCGGCCGAGTCATCCGCGTCTGAAAGCTTGGTCCTCGCCGTCGCCGAGGGGATTTTGATTCTCCCGCGCGCTATGAGGCCGGAACCGCCAGCAGACGAGCGGACAGCCGTGCCCGACCTCGACCTCCAGCAGCACTAGCACCGCCCCTCAACGGGCGCTTGGGCGGCCTGGCCATGTCTACTCCAGAGGAGGAAGACGCGGCGTCAAGTGCCAACTCGCACGCAAGAAGAAGTTAGAAGAAGTGAAGTGGCGAAGAAGAAGAAGTGGGAAGAAGACGAAGAAGAAGTGAGAAGAAGAAGAAACGGATGACAGATCTAGGGTTAGGGTTGGGAAGAAGTCCAACCTGTACCGGAGCCCGTTGCATGATGAAAGAGGCGAGCAAGCAATGGATGAGATAGACGGAGAACCACGGATTAGAATCGACGGCGAGGTGGTGGAGGAGGAGGATCGCCATGAACACTCACATGGTTCACCGAGAGGGAGTGAGGAGTGAGAGTAGAGGAAAAAGAGGAGGAGGAGGCGGGGAAGCAGGGACTGGGGAGGAGGCCGTGTGTCACCGCTCCACCGGTGACGAGGACTTGGGAGGACGGACAACGATGTCGGCGTCGGCGGGCAGTGGATCTAGATCGAGAATGGGAGAGCGGACAATGAGCGAGAGCGAGACCCGAGAGAGCCGTGGCGGGGAGAGGATTAGGTTAGGGTTTGGGAGGGATGCGCCATATGGACGACTTATATCTGACGAGGGAGAGGGAGGGTCGTGGGGGGGGCGGCGCCTGCTGCCTGCCGTGGGCCGTTCTCCGGCCGGGCCGCCATAAGGCCGCATCATCCACGTGTTGCGTGCCGTTGTGTCTCGGGAAGACGGCACGGTGGAAAAAAAAACGAACCGGCTACGGGTCGGGCCGTGGCCCACGGGCTGCATGGCCAAATATAGTTGTCTTGTTGAAAACTAGGAGAGGCAGACCCACGCCACATCTGGTAAGGTTGGCAATCGGCGGCCGCATGCATGGGAGGCGGAGGAGTATATGAGGAGTTGATTTTGTTTTTTATTAGACGAGTGGTGCATGCGGCAACGAGTGAAGCGAGGCGTCTAGTCTTCCGGAGGTCTTAATTGTAACATTACCCATAAACTTTAGTCTACGGATCAGATTGGCACGATGAATGACGCAAACTTTTAGTATGATATATTTGATTTTTTATTAGTTAATATAATTTGGTTAACGCTAAAACATATTTTTTGAATTACACAGTATAAAACATGATATTGGATTACGCACGTCTACCAAGTCGGTTAGCGCTGAGAACATAATTTTTTAATTACGCACGTCTACCACAGATGCATCATTGTCGACGGGTATGTCACCTACAACTGAAAACATAATATTGTTAGATATTGGAATAAATCTAGTAAACTGCGATCCCTTGTGCTGGTCAAAGACCTGAACGAGTGGATTGCACCACAAGAAATCTAGCTGGCTAGCTAAGTTATATCTAAAAAAATCGAAAAAAAACTTAACTCATATTCCCTTCTTTCCTAGTTATAAGTCATTTTGACTTTTTTTAGATACACAACTCTTGCCATGTATCTATATGCCAAAACTATTTATAATTTGGAACGAAGGGAGTAATTTTAGAAGTAATATTTTGTCATATAATTTAACAAAATGTACTTTAGTAAATTCCAAAGTCCTTTCACATGGACCAAAAAAAATAAGATTTTTGGATTGAAATTAAGGTAGTTTGGCCGGCTCCGGTTCCTGTCGTGGAGCAGATTTTTCTTGGTGGAGCTTAAATCGTTTCGGAAAATGTTTAGCGAAAATGATAGGTCTGTAATAATTAATGTCAAATTTGTGAGAAGACAAGAAAAGATACTCTCTCCATTCCAAATTATAATTCGTTTGACTTTTTTATTCCAAGTTTGATCACTCGTCTTATTAAAAAAAGTTATGCCAACATAGTCAAATTTAAATCATTTTTAAAGAATTTTTGTTAATAAAGCAAGTCACAACAAAAGAAGTGATATTTTACACAAATTTTTGAATGTGACGAGTGGTTAAACTTGAGATTAAAAAAGTCAAACGAACTATAGTTTGAAACGGATTTAGTATATTTTTACGCTCCGGACTCTATTGCAAGGAGCTGTTTTTATATGATCTTTTGACATAGCTCAACGCAAGAGTAGCAAGAATGCGCATCCGAAGACGTTTCTAAACGGCCAAGAAGTCAAAAGCATTCAAATCAAAACAAATTTAAATTTAAGACGATGCACATGTACGATTCATGATATTATTATTGTTTAGAATTTGGTGGGCCGTTAAACTGATTGTGAACTTTTTCGGGACAACAAAAACTGATTCTGAACTTTTTTTTCGGAGAAAATAAAACTGATTGTGAAACGACTCACGCGCCTGACCCGTGCAGCGCGCCACGCGTCGGCCGCGCAGGTGCGGATTCCCAATCCAATTCCAACGCGCGCGGCGCGGAGACTCGGCTCCCGCCCCCTGGCGCTCGCAACCGCGCGGGCGCGGGCGCGGCTGCGGCGTCCCCTGCCCTGAATTTCTGAATGCGAGCGCGCGCAGCGCTGGGGCGCGGGTGGGGTGCTCTCGGTCTCGGCTCGCTCAGGTCGCCCGCTGCCCCGCTCCAGTTTCCGCCTCCATTTTTGCTGGCTCCACCAACAAAACCCGACGCTCCCACCCACCCCTCGCTCTTTTCCTCCCCAAACCCGCGCTCCCATCCTCCGTGGCGTGCACCGCGCTTTCCGGCTCCCGCGGGCGGCGACCTGGGAGAGGCGGGGGCGTCTTGCGGCGAGGTTCGTGCTCCAAACCCTACCCCCCCCCTCCTTCCGTCGCCCACCGCATCGCCTCACTTGCGCTTTCCTTTCCGGCTGCCGAGTCCACAGTCCACGCGCGTGAGGAGGGAGAGGATCCTGCTAGGTTTCATGTCTTGGCACGCTTGGAAGGCTGGAACGCTTGATTTGTCCCCGGTAGCCGCCGGGTTTGTCGCTGCCCGCGCCCCCTCACCCCTCCCCTGGGTAGATTGTAGTCGCGGTCGCGGCGTCTCTGCGCAAGAGTTGTGGATCCGTGACTTCTTTCGCTCTGAATTTTAGCCTTAGGCATAAGGGTACTCATTTTGTTACGGTGCTATGACCTTGATTTAACAACATCGACTTCGCATTTTGATCTTTGAGTGAGATTGGGAGGATTAGGTCTTAGAGATCCTTGGATTTTCTATCTGTTCGTTTGTGGCTTGCATTGTCTGCTTCAGAAGGGCTTGGATTTGCCCAAAAAGTTCAATTAGCACCCCGCGCATGTACTTGATTTCCCTCCTGCATTGGCCAGATCCAGTTGTGTTGTTTTTTTTATGAACAAAACCTAGCTATTTGTTTGGCCTACACTATTCAGCTTGGAATTTCACTTTTGCCGTTACCTCAACTGCTCAACACAAGGTGTACATGTTGCTTATTACGTTTTATGTCTGTGGATTGACCAGGCATTTGAGGCCAGAGTTTTTTTTGGTGCTGTCAATATAGCTGATTGGTGAGGGTCAATGGCGGAAAACACTCATGGTAGTGGTCGACGCGCGCTTGGGGACTTGACAAATGTCCTTTGCAAGCGACCAGCCACATCAGATCTGGAGAAGAGTACGGGTGGGATAAAGATCAGACGGATTGAAAAGGACACTGCGACTGGGAAAGGGTTTGATGAAAATGCAAAAACCAGCAGTAGAGGGAAGGGAATTGTATTTGGGCATTTGTTTGATGGTGTTGCCAAAGAGAATTTCGAAAGGCCTTCTATCTTTCAGAACACTAGGGTTCAACACATGGCTGCTGAAGCAGCTGGGCTGTTATCCAAGGAGGCCAGTGACTTGAAGAACCATTATGCATCAATCGATTCATTTGATCTCAGTGATAAGGAGCAGGATTCTTCGCTGGAATCTGAAGGTGACTATGATGATGAAGATAATGATGAGATGAATGGTGAACTGCCACGCCATTTTTGCAGCTCAGAGCTAGCTAATAAAACATCAACAAATGACGGCGAGTGCTTGACTCAGGAGGAGATAGTTGGGTCATCAGGAAATCAGAAGCCTCTGTCTTCATTGGATGCTACGGCAGGTGGTGACATGCCAAGTTCTAGTGTTCAGCATGCTTCTATGAGAACTGGGGGTTTGGAAGAAGCTGTCGCCACAAAATCTTGTGCTTGTTCTTTCTGTCTTAAGGGTATGTTCACATTCATTTCTTCATTTCTGATGCATTTGCTTATGTCAGCATGATGGCATGCAAACATATATCTTACCTTCGTTTCCTTGTCCCCGAAATAGCTGCTTTTATGTGGATGGATCTCCATTATCAGGATGCAAGAAGCCGGCTTTCTGGTATGACCGCAAATTCAACTCCTTTTATCTTATTCATAAGATGATATATAAGTAGCTAATTACTTCTGATTTATTTATGTGGCTACATTTTACTGATGTCAATTCATCTGTGCCGATTCCTTAGTATTGAAGAAAAACATCAAGTTTGCCAGGTTGTTGGAGGAAAAAAGTAGAGGAGGTGAATATGCTGCCAATGTAGCCGGATATAACTCAAAGCGAGCTGTGGGAATGGAGTTCGAACTATCTCAACAACAGAGATCACTCTTTCTTTATACAGAAAATGCCCTTGTCCGCGAGTCAACACAGCTTGTAAGTTGTTTTATCCATCTTTAACACTCCTTGCTTAATACAAAATTTGTTGCTTGTGTATCTGTATCTTGCCAGTTGCCATCAATATGCACCTGTGATTATAGCGCAAAATAATGTGCGTGGCAGTTTGTTCAGCATTCATCTGCTTGCACATGTTGATATGGTTTGATTGCTAGAAGGATCATGGTTTTAAGAGAACGATCTGTGATAATTGAAACTCACGTGTTCTCTGCTTTGGGTCTTAAATCATTTATTTGGGGGCTAAGACAATAGGCAAATAAGTTTCTCCTTATATTTTCTTTTGCAAACAGCTGGGAAAAAAACATAACTATCATATAGGTGGGAGTACTAGCTCAATACTTGAAAGTTGAAGGTGCATATGCTGGTGGAATCTGTAGGTGTAACTAAAGAATTAGTCCTTTCATAAATATCATGTTATTTGCTTCATGGTTCTGCAATGTTCAAAAAGGCGCTCCTAGGCACTCGCCCAGGCCGCTGGGCGGAGGGGTGCCGCCTCGCCTAAGGGGGTAGGTGGAGGGATAGGTGACGTCCACCCAAACCCAGAGCCGCACTGCATGAGGGAGGAAGCCGTGCCGCAAGCGGAGGTCACCGGTGGGGGCGAGGAGCGGCGGGCGGCGCGCCGACCAGAGGAGACATAGAGAGAGATGTGGGAGAGGAACCAGCGGCGGCGGCGACGGCGGCTATATGCGTATGTGTGTGCGGTGGCCATGCGGGAGACCGAGCAGAGGAGGAAGGGATAAGCCAATAAGGTGTTGGGGGACTTGGGCTTTGGGCCGTTTACTGTTTTATGGGCCTTTCTCTTCAGTGAAGTTCACTTATCTCCTGTTTTATTTTTCTTTTTTAAACATATATGTGTGTATATACTAACGCCTTGCGAACGCCTAGGCTGGCCTAGGCTCTAGGCGGTGGGTCACCGCCTAGAGACCGCCTAGTGCCTTCTTGAACATTGTGGTTCTGTTGCCATTTATCTTAACTCCTGTACTTGTGAAATCATTTTTTCGTTGTCTTTTTTCGCAGTTGGGAAATTGTTGGGGCATACTTTTTATCTGCTGTCTGTTTTCCAATACATTTTGCAGTAAATTACTTCAAAGTTATTGTATCTTTTAACTATGTGAGAATCTGGCCTTAGTTTTGAAATGGAGTTGTGCTGAAGAACTTTCATGTTAGTTACTCCCTCCGTTCCAAATTATAAGACGTTTAGCTTTTCTAGATACATTTCTTTCACTATGCATCTAGACATAGTGTATATCTAAGTGCATAACAAAAGCCGTGAATCTAGAAAAGCCAAAATGTCTTATAATTTGGAACGGAGGGAGTAGTAGCCATTTTTCTTCTTGGGCATGTGACAAGTGTTGTGTTTGGTTCTATTTGATTGCTCTATGCACAAATCTTTAAGGGCTCGTTTGGATCCTTGGAATTGAATTCATTCTAATAATTATAATTTAGACATAAATTAATTAAGCTAATATAGTTGTATATAGAATGTATTTGTATATTTATTGTTAGGCATACAAGGGACATACTTATATGTTGCATTTCTATTGTAGGGAAGTGAGTTGAAGAGTGTGCTATAAGTTGGAGAGTAGAATTATAGCATAGTGATAAGTGATCTATAGAATCCATTTCCATCTCCCACCCTATGAATTTGAGATAGGCTTATTTGTGAGCTTGGGAAAGTTATGGAATGTCAAATTCCAAGCCAAATAGCCTAATCCATTAAGTAGATTTCAATTCCTCCAAAATGAAGGGATCCAAACGGCCCCTAAAAGACATTTCTATTCTGGGGTAAATTGCTGGATTTTGTGACGGTGCCTAATGTAATTGCCTGTTTCGTACTCCCTCCAGTCAGTTTTAAGTGATGTTTTGGCCTCAAATTCTAACACCATGATGCCATAATAATGACTAGAAATTATTGCCATGCTACCCCTACTTGCATTACTTAATAATCTGTTGGTCAAAGTGCATACATGTGTCTCGATTGGCGTTAGTGGATGCATGCAACCAGAATTTTTTTTTCATGACCATAGTTAAAATCTTGATTCTATTGTCCCATTTTACAACTTTACGATCTTAACTGATTTCTTAAGGAAATTCTACGATCCTACTGTTGGAGTTCCGATCCAATTCAGAATCGCGATTTGAACAACCTTGTTCATGACCGTGGAATGCCTTCCTCCAATGGCAAACTCTTTTTTTCTTTTTCTTCTTCCTCCATGCCATTTGTGAGGATGCTTTCGAGAATTGTGAACATCAAGTGTTCAAGTTATGCAGGGACATTAACTATACGAGTATGCAAAATGAGAGGTAAGGGGTTGAAGGGTAAACGGGGTGTGAAAGATCCTAAACTCTAAACTGCATTTTCACATATGGCTACTTTATCATGACTGGAGGGAGTAGAGAATTTTTCGTCCTTTCTTTTTCAGAAGTCTATGTCTTGAACTTTCAATTGATTAGCCCACAAACTGGGTGTTGGTAAAGCGTTCATTCTGATTCTGCCATGTTCTGAGTGATATGTGGATTAAAAAGATACTGAGAAAATTATACAGTTGCTTTGGTGAGACTGTCAATTCTGGTTGTTTTCTCATTAACTGAAGTGCTTCTGAGTCTTTTTATTGCCTTGTTTTCAAAGATTGCTAGTCATGTTTACAACTTTGCTTCAAGTTCTTTCAGGCTGTTCTGAAATCCACTTAGAATTCTTTAACTTAAGCATTTGGATATGTGTAAACTTGATTATATTGCATTCGCACATTGCATGTGACATCTTGCATGACATTTTTCTACGTATTCTTCTTTGGTATAAGGTCAGCTTATTAGTTATGTTTACTATTCCGTAGTGTATTTATGTTATGCCACTAACTGTATTCCTTTGGTTAATTGTATATTTGGTTTATGATTCTGTTATAATAGTCGAATTTTCTTTTATTCAGCATTCTACTTTTGTGAAGTTGAAGGAATTGAGAGAGAGCTGCAAGACAAATCTTGAGACGATCAGCAAATGAGTGCTGCATGTTGCTCAGCTGAACTGTTAGTTTTCCTGAGACGTAGTATGATCAGCTGGCTTGGTTTGAAGCAAGATGTGCATTGAGATTGTTCCTCAACTTAGGAATTATGGTGCTTACCATCAATTTGGCACATTCGCTGTAGTGATTACTCTATCATAAAGCATTGTTCTAGTATTGTTTTTTTTTTGGATAAGGATTCTAGTATGTTTGTAGCTGATGTAAAAATAACCATGGTAAGGTAGGAACTGTATGTTGTCTCGTTGAGACATCGGCTTCTTGACTTGTACTTTGCAGTGAGCTTCTTTCATATGAAAATTCTTTCCTCGTTCTCCAAACAACAGGGAAAACAATATCGTTTCGAGCTTGCTGGTGAGTTTCATAGTGCGTGAATTTGTACCTTCTGAAAGATGTATGAGTGTATTATTCGGCTTCTGGGTCTTCACGCTTGGTATACTTGATTGTGCCTGCATCTACTGTGCGTTATTCTTGTACGTTTGGTACCTTAGCAGCCGTAAGCCATGTCTCTGGAACGATGCATTAGGAAAGAATGGGGACGTTGAACGCGGGACACCACTTTTAGAAACCTATTTATATTGTTCATTCAATAGATGGAACGCATGTCTAGTATCTTGAGACAGCTAATAGAAACTTGATACACAGCCTGTTGGATTTTCATCGAGCGTCCATACTACTAATCATTTTTAGAAATCAATGGTACAAAGGAGGTATATTTGTATTGTTTGTTTGAGAGATGGAACATGTAATGTAACTAGTATCTTGGGACAACCCGTAGAAACTTGTAAAATTGAGCTTGTTGAATTTTCATCTAGCGTACATGCAACAATTACACAATTAGTGCATGTCAAAGAATTGAATTGCATGACAAGGGTAAGGAAACTGCACTGTTTGTTCGAGAGATGGAACATGTACCTAGTATCGTGAGACAACCACTAAAAACTTGTTAAATTGAACCTGTTGAATTTTCATCTAGCGTGCATACAACAATTACACAATCAAACAATCAACTCATGTTGAAGAATCGAATTACATGACGATGATAAAGAAACTGCACTACTGTAAGCGTCCCAGTCTCTCAAAGTTTGGTTACTCCCTTTCATATCTTCTTTCTGGATAGACTTTCAACCTACACGTTATTCCCATTCCTCGTTTGGGAACATAGTTTCCGAAACGTGGAATGAGTTCATGTTTTACATTTCCGATGACTAAGGTTATGAGTACATGTGTGTGTTGGACAAACATATCTACCATTCCATCCGTCCACAAAAGGTAATTCTCACTTTTTGAGAAGTCACACGATTTAAAGTTTGATCAAAGTTACAAGACGAAAGAATAGTTCGCTATGTTCCTATTGCTCAGATCCCAAACAACGCAACAAGTGGCCTCAGGAGCTAAGGAAAACAAGGATCAAAGAAAGATGGCTCTAGCATCAGCAGGGTAGTGCCGCTTGGGAGTTCTTTTTTCTCCTTTCGCGCTACTTGGAAGGGTGCCATGCCTCTGGAAGGCGTTTGGTGTACTTGGCCTAGTGTACATAAACACCCTTTCGTATCTTAATAGAAGACAGAGCTTGTACCATATCTTTTTAAAAAAGTTATATAAAAAATATTAATATTTTATGATATAAACTAAGTATCATTGAATTTATTATGGAATATATTTTCATGGGAAATCTGGTTGGTGATGTAAATGTTAATACTACTCCGTATTCACTATACATTTGGTCAAATATAAGTTAATCTGACTTGCACAAATATTATGATTGCAATCTTTTATTGACAGAGGTAGTACATCTTACTTCCTCCGTTTAAAAAAAGATATATTTCTTGAGGAGTCAATCAATACTAAGTTTGACTAAATATGTCTAAAAATATATAGTTATTTACGATGCGCAATAAGTATCATTAGACTTAGCAAAAATATATATTTATAACAAATATATTTGAAAAATATAAATATTGATTTAAAAAAATCTAGTTAAATTTAAGATTCTTTGATTTCTTCGGAAATGAGATTTATAGTTTTTTTAACGGATTGTGGAAAAACACAGGACTGTCGTCGGTGCTTGACTGCTGT